TTTTGCTTCTACACTTACTCTCCATCATACCACACTATAGTAAGGGCCTACTCGCACACTGACTTTTTCGACTAAGCTCCGAACATGATCGCGATCAAATTCATCCAGGCCTTTCCGTAATTGCAGTCAAACGCTTTTACCGCAGTGCTACCATCTTCCCCGAAACATGAAGCATAGGTTGCTTTCTATTCGAACGGCTGGCATATTCGAATACAAGGCCTATGCGCTCTATTTGAAACGTCCAACTTTTTTCTAAAAACGACACGGTAGCGTGAGTATGCCCTAGGTATGTGCTAAAACGTGGGATGAATGTCACACCAGCTATGTAACCGATAAAGCCCAATAAGTTTGCGATAACAATATCGAACAGCTACGCCTCAACCACCACACAAGATACATTGCAGAAGAGCGCAGTGTTTTTCCCTTTTTCTTTATGACACCCACTGAAATGGCAAACTCTAGGAGTATATCACGCAGTTGAGGGTAGGTGCATTGAATTGTTCGTTATCTACATACATAGTTATTTTGACATTGAAGCTTACCACGTGTGACCATACATAAAGTGTTATCTCGACACCAAGGCTTATCACACGCACGATCATATGAGGAACTACTGAATGACAGAACCAGCACTAATCGTGTCGGCAGGTACTGTATGTACCAAGCACCACTTCAACATCAAAAGCGCACAACACCTTTTCTCACACAACAGGTTGTCTTCTTTTTTTTTTTAACAACCCGACGTTTTCTGAGGAAATGCTGTAGGAGTTGAGTTGACAGTTCACCCCAGAGGACTCTGGAAGGCAGCAAAAGCAAATTTACTGAGGGGTCCACTGCCTCTCGTGCGAAACTGAGCTAGCTCAAAGTCTCGCACAAGACACACTCCCAAGCGCTGCGTGGACTTCCACCCAGAACGCAACAATTGGTAGGCAAATGGATAAACGACCATCCAATTTTCAACACAAAAAAAAACAAGCCGACAAATTCGCACTACCAATACTGAACCTTCCTCTTTCGCAGACAGTGAGAAACAGAGGAGAGCGAGAGAGAGAGAGAGAAATAGAGACAATTAGAAGGCCTAAATTTCACTGCCATATCCGCACCAAGTACCTCAGACAGAAGAGAACAACTTCATAAGTGCGTCGGATACATCTAAAAGAGCAGTGGTAAATGCAAAGTGGTTCAAAACACACGCACGAGACCAGTGGTCCCCACGCATGGTTGAATGCAAAATCAGAAGTAGACTGTTCCAAGCACATCAAAGGAAACATTCATGGAAGGCGTGGTGCCCCACAGATATGCCTACGGAAGCATATGCCAGAAGGAGTGGTGCCCCGCAGATATGCTCGAGCGTTGGCTTCCATCCTAAGCAGCCAACCACTCTTGCCAGCAGTTTACCACACTTTCGAGCCACCCTGATTCGGCCATACACAAACATTCATCATCAGCTTCACCTAAACACGCCCATCTGCGCACACTATTTTTTATATTAACGAAATGGACCATTTCTCGATTTATGTGTGTCATCCTTGTGCAGGGCCCATGTTATTCTCTGTAGCATTCCAATTTTAACAGATGTCCACCACTCTCAGAAATACAGAAATACCTCGAGCTACCAGTCCTGCCGAGTAAAAGACTTGCCCTCCCTGCCCTTCCTAGACAGCACCCAACAACCATCAGGCCGTCACCAACGTTCAATCGGCACAGACTTGTCCCAGTTGCAGATGATGTGCTTGCTCAGCTGGAAGTGGCAACATCCAGCGCCTCTAGCCTTCTAGGGATTCTTCCCTAGAAGTACCGTCTCATGGCCTTCAATCACTACCGCACTTCTTACCCGGCCCTTCCTAGACATCAGCCAACAACCAGCAGGTCATCATCTATGTTCAACCGGCACAGAGCTGTCCCCATTGCAGATGATGTGCTTGCTCAGCTGGAAGTCGCAACGTCAAGCCTTCTAGGGAAACTGCCCTGGACGTACTTCTGTCTCATGGCCTTCAATCACTATCGCAGTTCCTACATTGCCTCGCAAGTTCCTCCATCTTCCACATCTAGGGTAGCAGCACAGATACGGCCCAAACACCGACGACTAGGTTCATGCTAGCCTTTTATGTTACATCAAGAGTGCCTACCTTCTTCACTCAAATACAACGTACAGTCATCATAGCCGTATTTGGGGTATCTTTCAGTTTAAATACAGCAATAATGACGACTGTACATTGTATTCGGGTGAAGACGGTAGCTCTAAGCTTCCGACTCTGCAACTCCTTGAGGCCTCCCCTTCCATGATCTCTCCCTTTTTGTCAGGTGCTGAGGACTTGTTTTGCACATTAGGAGATATGGGGAGAACGACCTCAATGATGGCCATACGCCTATATTCCTCATGGCACAGCCCTATCTCGACCAAACACTGACCAGGTTCATGCTACTCTTCCATCTTTCATACTTACAGCCAAGACTGCCTGGCTCTAATCACCTGGTGAATTCTTCAAGGTTATCCTTCCATGCTCCCCCGTCTCATCAGTCACAAAGAACTCGTTTTGTGCATTGTGGGGAGAACCTCCTCAGTGAAGAGCTTACTGCTACCTTCCTTGTGGCAGGAGCCTATCTACACATTGTCCAACTCCTCAAACCAAAATGGGCATGCTTCCAAATGCTATACAATGTGTCACTATGCATACCTCCAAGGCCCATCTCAAACCTCTAGAACCGGCATGTACATCCGAAGGGTCAGTTTCACATACCTATTGAATCCCTCGGCTAACGATCTCTCTCTCCTCGGCTAGCTGAGCGGCCTCCACCATCTCAAGTATATACCTATCTAATCCCTCAGCTAACGATCTCTCTCTCCTCAACCCCTCAGCTAAAGCCTCCTTGAGTGCAACCTCAAAGGTCACCCCACCTACTGTTGGCCATACCTCCTTCAGGGTCTCCTCTATTTACTGTACCCCTGGGCTACGCTCTATCGAATTTCACTCCCTGTGGATACTTCATCCTCACCGTGATGGATAATCAGGCACATAAAACAGCATGCTTCTTGACTTGGTCTGCACCCAGTCACTGGCAGTCAGCACCCTCCACAAATCGTCCACAATCCGCAGGCTCTATAAACTATAGCTCACTGTACGGAATGGCCACAACAATAACTACATTGGCTCTCTACTTCCACAGACGGACATCCCCATCCCTAAGAATTGTCATTCGTTACCTTCAGATCACACTCCCTCCCAACCCTATCACCTCTGCCATCACTTAAACAAACTTCTTATTGCAGTGAAAGGACCATTCACCTGTCCCCGTATTAGTCCTCGACTCCTCAATTGCTCCAGATTACTCCCCTACTGAACCCCTGTGCTTCCCTTCTCTACCTTCCTACTCTTTACGGTCCTCAGCTCTAGACAATGCAAGTCAAGCCATCAGAGCACAGTCAAATAGGAGACGAACCGAGGCAGGAAGACACGAGACGAGAGGAAATGCAGGGACAGCAGGAACGCAGAAGACAGCCAGAAGACATGAAAACTGAGGAAAAAAGAAAGGCAGGAAGATGGAACACAAGCGAAGAGCAGGCAGATAAATAAAAGGCACGGTGAGAAAAGCCGTCACTGAGCAGGCTTGTGCCTGTCAGCCTGATAGCTACAATCAAATACTGGCAGCAAGAAGTGCAGCGCATCCCAGCCAGGTACTGGCAACTGCCACACAAAAACTTACAGTGAGGGAAATTACATCCTGGCCAACTAGAGGCAATCTCCAGACCAAATCGCAAAACAGCCGTGAAATCTCATAATACCCATTCCTCACCATAGAACATGCTCACTCGTGCAAGCGACCAAGCTGTCGACATAAGGTCAAGATTGCATTTACATCTTACGCACAGAGAGAGAGAGAGAGAGAGAGAGGAGAGAGAGAGAGAGAGGAGATAGAGAGAGAGAGAGAGAGGACGTTAGCATCTCAATCCAGGGAAGATATTGAGTGAATAAACAGAGGGATACATTAGGCCAGACATACTCAGTATGGACACCCACAACAGGAACCAACAGGTGGATGAACACAGTTTCTGACCCTCTGCAAATTGACTGGAAAGATGGTAAACAATAGGGCAACCGAAGAAGAAAACCTGATAGGGAGGCAGAATGGGGAGGAGAGCAAACAGCATGTTAGAGCACAAAACAGATAGGGAGGCAGAATGGGAAGGAGAGCAAACAGCACGCTAGACCACAGAATACTGCCACCGAATGAGACCATGACAGCTCCCCGGCGGTACCCCTATCGCACACTCACGCAAGTCATATCAGCACTGAACATGCCTGGGAATCCTCAACAGCTGGCAATCAATAGAACACCAAATTAAGATGAAAAGAATCGATGGGAGGGGAAACAGAAGAAAAGACACAGAAAAAGAATGGAAAGAAAAACATACAACACCACCGAATACTGCAACGAGCTAGGAAGATACCAGAACCCCGACAAGCCGCTGACGTCATGCACACGCAAGAGAGCTGCAATTAGCATGGTAAGGAACCCTCTCCACCTGGCACCCAAAGACTGAGAGGTGAACTCTGCACCCCAAGAGGATGACAGTACAAATTTCCCAGACAGGGCCATAAGATTCAGCCCACAAAGCCGGTTGGTTGGATGACATCAGTCAAGTGACTGGTAGAAACAGCCCCGTCCCACTGCAATGCCAACCAGTACACCGACCTGACCACGACCCAACACGCATATCAGATCAACAGAATCACAAGCATCGTTCAACAAACAACAACATAGAGGGGTGGGTGAGGTGGACAAAGGAAAGGACATTTTGAATTTGCTGTTCTCTTCTTCCACATAACTTTTTTGTTTGACATGGACAAAGGTGACATAATATCCGAGTCCTCATCCAGCAAACACAAGTACACAATATAAGTGAAAACTGCTCTGAATATTGGACATGGCCTCGGTGATGTCAGAACACATGCAAATATCCAAGAGAAAGCTCCAATGGGCTAGCCCAACATATATTGGACGTGAAAACTGCTCCGAATATTGGACGTGGACTCAAGAAAGGCTTTCTCTTGATGAGACCCTCTCACTGGACAGGGCTTTGCAACATTGACCCGAGCGTACATCGCCTACATTCCACAAGAACACAAGGCTACTTTACCACTGACAAAAGCACAAACCTTCTAAAATACAGCTACAAAGTAGCCAGCGAGAACAAACGTGTTCATCCACCAACAAGAAACTACGAGAGGCACGATTCTCCGCAGAACTTCCCCCTGCTAGTCAAAGCCCGCATCAGAACTCCACCAGGATACCAACCGATCCATTAGACGGCCTCCACTACATGAGACTATGTACATCCCTTGCCCGTCCCAGGAACAGCCCCAATATATATAACCAACCACCAGCACTGCAGCTGAACTGCCCGAGCCCCAAAAACTGGAGAAAGAAAAGCTTAAGACCAAACTCGCTTTGGGAGGGGAGGGTAAATGTACTCCGTCTGAACCGTATCCATGTGAAACAAAATGCCTACCTTGCCCTGCTAATTCCTTCTCAGGCAGGCCTCCTCGTAGAGGCACCGTACGATGACCACGGAGCGGTAGTGGCAGTGGGCGTGGTTGAAATGGGTGCAGGAGGGGTAGAGCTAGTGTGCCATAAATCACTAGACCAATCATTTTGAACCCCTGGAGCACTGGCACTCCAAGGGGTATTCCCACCCGATGAAGCCCTACGCTCTGTGTTTGTGAGTTCAGCTCGCAGCTTTTCATTCTCACGTGCCATAGCAACGAGGTTGCTTTCCATCCGCTGGCGATTCTCAATTTGCTCGGCATTTACCTTCCTCTCAAAATCCAGGTGACTTCTGGCTTGCTGGAGTTCTTGGCGAAGGCCAAGAATTTCCTGCCGCAGGAGAGGGAGCTTTTGCACCTCCTGCCTCATAGCAGGAAGCTGACTGAGCTCCTGGCGAGCCTTTTGAAAATCGTTTGTCACCCCCTGCAGCTGCTGATGCGCAGCGGCTCGTGCTGTTTCCGCCTCTTTGCATCGCACATGAAGGCTTTGGATCTCCATTCGTGCAGCATGGAGCTCCTGTTTCAGTGGCTCAGCTGCACGCAGCTCTTCCAACATCCTCGAGTTACTGTCTGCAAGATTTCGCATGCTCGCCTCACTCTCTGCCTGATGTGTCGTCAAGGTCTGATTCAACCGTTGTATCTCCCCTTGTGCTGCTGCAACCTCCTGCCGTAACCCCACTAGCGTCGCTGCCAGTCTCTGATTCTCTGTTAAAAGCCGTTGCATCTCAGTCTGTGCAGTCGCTAGCTTATGCTCCATCACTGCCGGTAAGGATACCTGCTGAGGTGGTGGCGGCGGCGCAGCACCAGGAAACATTGGCGGAGCTGGCCCAGGAGGGCGAGGACGCATCATGTTTACAGGACCTGGCCCTCTTGGCATTGGTGGTCCAAGGGGTGCATTTCTGTCAGGCAAACCAGGTGGCATCCTGCTACGAAATGCCATAAAATGTGGAGGTCCTTTTTCAAAGGTCAGACAACCTGCTAAGGCAGCCAGCAAAAGTCAGTTCTTCCACAGAACACAGCAGCAGCTCTCACAATGAAATTACTGCACAGCTTCAAGAGATGCTGGAAAAAACTGCAGCTTGCTTGGTTGCTTGCTGCAAATTATCTCCAGTAGAATGGGTGAATCTCGCAGCTTGTGCTCCAGCGCTCAGAAAAACGGTTATCTTTTCTACAAAGCCAAGCGAAATGGCTCGTCTGCCCGGCACGGTCGGTCATACAAACAGGTTCCCTGTTTACCGATCAACTCCTAACACCTTGACCTGTTGCCAAACCACCATTCACAGTCAGCCAATCACCCCAGCCAAACGACAAGAACCCCAAAAGCACCTGATCACACAACCAGACTGGGACAGACTACTCACCCAGGCAGGGAAAGCAACCAACGGGACGAAAGTCAAGCAGACCGTGCAAACAGACTAGACCAACAACCCCCCTCTGCGTCCTCGCTTGCCGTGTGAGCGTCATCTATGAAAAGCATGCACAGCTACTGTGCTACGCAGGTCATGGAGACTACTCAAAGAATCGGCCAGTTTTTTCGCATAATCTCACATCTGTGACCAAGCTTCTCAAAATACACTATTGAGGACCACCCTATGAGGCAGCTATTTGCAAAGGTTGTGACAGAATACTAATGGTCAGACTTTAGATCACTGAACAACTTGCACCACCCGGCCCTACTCGTTAACCAGCTCTGGAATAGGAATGGAGGGGCGAACTGGGCTGGTGCTGCCCACACGCAGGCCCAACCTCAAAGAATTGATCTGAAAACGGGTTGTTTCTGGGTTCTGGTAAACGTCACCCACTCCACCCTACCAGCTGAGATTGTCTCACCTGCCTACCACTGGTTCAGGACATCAACCAGAATTCCTAGTAATCAACAAGCAATTTTGCCAGCTGTAGCTGTCAACGGACAAGTCTGTCGGTATTTTGGACAATGGGCACACACAACACCCCTTGTGCTACGCAAAACAAATCCAAGTACCGATATGTCGGCCATGGGTGGAAGGCTGAATAAACATGCCTGACAGAGAGACTGTCCGCATCTACATGTCTCACAGTCGAAGTTATATTTGCACAAGGGATGCAGATCACACCCCTTATGTCATGCAAAAGAGAGCTTTGAAGTGCATACATCCCAGCCAGGGATGGCTGGCTGACACTCATGTCTGCCAGAGCCTCTCCGTTTCTCAAGGCATCGCCAGCATTAGTTAGGCATGGAATAGGTTCCCTATTGTTTTCATTGTCCTTGCCAATGTTTAGATAGGTGCTGGACATGGAGGCTAGGTGACAGGAATGACACGCCCTCGACTTTGTGCAGATGCTGGGCTACAAATGCTGTGCTCCCCCTGCATCCCAGTCCGGAAGTTAGTGAATTGTGTATCGCAGTGGTCCATGCATTTAGACATTTCCACAGAGCAAAGCCTCCAATGACTTCTGCTTCAGAAATCTGAGGCGGACAGACGGTGCACGTGGTTTTAACTCGTTCCTCCAAGCCTCTCTCGCTCTCTGGATTCCGTCTCTCCCTGAATGGTAACTCCACACGGCATTTTCCATGCTAGTCCCGCTAGGAGGACAGGTACTCGTCCTTTCAGGATCACATATAATAATATACTTATTATCCCAGAGGGCTACCCGCTTGATAATATACTTATGGATTCGTTGCGATGGACCAAGAGAGCGTTGCAGTATGGACCCAATTTGTTGTGATGGACCAAGAAAGCGTGGTTAACAAGATCTTCCATGCTCCTACGTCCTGCACAGCCTGCAACAAGAGTCGTAGCACAAGTAGTAGAGTGCTCGTCTCGAACAAGTCAAGAGTTGATGTGAAATGAAGGTTTAATTCTGCCCTACCATCTTCACATGAATACAACGCACGGTCATTATAGCTGTGTTTTGGGCATCTTTGAGTCTAGATACAGGGCAATAATGATCGAACATTGTATTTGTGTGAAGACGGTAGTGATGGAAAAACGAGGAAGCACCATTTTGGGCTGAGATCTGCCTAAGATGAAGCAGGAGAGACATTTATCTGCACATTCCTATGCTCCCCACCGCGAGGATGCCATCCCTGGCAAGCACATTCACCCAACGCTTCACGACTTTCCACCACCATCGCCCTCAGAGGCTCCAATGTACGCACTCGAGGGGACACAATACCCCAACCACAAGGAACACGAGGAACCTCGCAATCTCGTGAGACTTGACAAAACCGTCAGGGAGCCACGAGCCAGGGCAATCCACAGACGAAACGGCCAAAGCCAAAGTCGTTCAGGATCCCAGGTAATCACGATAAACAAGGGGCTGTCACACTCGGACAGAAACTAAGTGATCATCTCCGCTCTCATTCACTGAAATACTGTTTTACAGTATGTCAAAAACCAATCCGTTCCCTGCACGGCATCGGCGGCAGCATCGGCAGGTACGTTATACACTTCTCAATTGTTCCAATAGGCATTGGCAGGTAGGTAATAAATACTCTTCTCAATTGTTCCAATATAACTAGAGAAACTCCAACCATAACAATCTAAAGGATGCGTAGATCTACTACGCCACCAGTGAATCCGAGCCTCTTTTGTACAACGCGGATTATCCCTGCGCGCCAAGCATTGCCTAAACGCCAGCACGGTGTTTATATGTTTTCACTTTGGCTGGTGCTACCAGACATTTTGGTCCGGTAGACCTGAGCCTCCCAAGGTTTCAGAGATAGCCTCTCATATTTCTCAAGTTGCCTGGGGCCATGTACTGGTGGTTAAAACCAAAAGAACACTACCTTGAGGACTGCTGTGGCGATTGGGGGCTCGGCAATTCTTCAGTTGATTTGGCAACAGGCTTTCTTCTTTCCGTCATGCACACGGTGGGTCGTGCATATGGAAGTGGTAATAGTGGCCTAGGCCAGCACTGCATGCCAAAAAGTGAGCCCCAGGGCCTGCCACTGCCAGAGATTTCCGTGGCTTGAAGCGGACCGGCACTGCATCCCGAAAAGCGAGCCCCAGGGCCTGCCACTGCCAGAAATTTCTGTGGCGGTACTGACACCGAAGAGGAAACAATGCTTGTGAAAGCACAAACTACTGGGAAGCGAAGACTGTACAGGATATCTGGTATGGAGATAGCTCCACAAAACGCCCACCTTGTGTGAAGGTACTCCCCATAGACCATTTTAAAACTGGGAACTGCTGCATGAGATGCATAACCAATGGTGTTACGCTTGCGAACTGTTCCAGCAGCTAAAACAACCCCAAAGAAAAGAACCGTTCCTCTCCACAAGAGGGCAATGACTTGAGACACTCCCTCTAGAGAGACGGTAAGTGGGAATAGGAATCTGTGTCTATGCAGAGGGAAATGAGAGCTATACAGGGTCAAGATGTACTTAGTGTAAAATTAAAAAGAAAACATACAGATGTACTGATTATCATTCACCAAAGGTGATGAAAGCAATAACGGTCATCGGTGCAGTCACCCAAGCCTCAGCATAAACAGCGCCGGCCAACGGGTTCCATTACCAACAATCTGTACAGCCGCCCCTCAGCGTTCGATGAGCTAAGCTGGTCATCGTAAGAATGATTTGTAAATCTCCTTGCTCCTATTGTACTGTGTGCGAATGGACAAATTCAATAAGGCGATGGACATGAGTGTTCCGGTGTGGGCCCCCTTCAATCCTTGGTTATGCACGTTGTGATGCGCCCCCCCTTTAACCCTCGGTTATGAACAGAGGCCAGACCAAACAGCAAACGTTGTTTCTATCGCCTTCCAGTTCCTTTCAGGCAAAGGTACACAATAGCCATGAAAACGTTGTTTATATCGGCTTCCGGTTCATTTTCAGGCAAAGGTACAAGATAGCCAGATAGCCAGATAGCCAGAAAGCCAATCCCGCTGAATTCTGTATGTTTCCTTTGCCAAAGTGTACCAGGGCGTGCTCAGGGCAGAGTGCACCTGGGCGACCACAGAGTGACCAGAGTGCCCGATCTGTACGGAGGCGTGCAGGAGCCTACTGAGCAAAATCTCTCTGATAGGAGAAAGTTGCCAATCACAGTAGGAAAAAGATAGCAGTCCTGTGGTTTGTTTCGTGTTTGTAATACCTCGTTAGGTCTATGGCGATCGCACCAAACGTGTGTCGTTTGTTTCATGTTTCTAATACCTCGTTAGGTCTATATGGCGATCGCACCAAAGGTGTCACGTCACAGCCTGTTCCTCGCTACAGTCCGAAATCACAATCAGAACAATCAAGCAAGATCCATCATCTCACCCAAAAAGAAAAGAAAAACACTAAAAACTTCCTGAAGAGGGGGTCCTATATACCACAAGAAGCCTGAGGAAGAGCAGCTGCTAGCATCATCACTGCAACTCCGACCATGCCCAAGAGTTCGTTCGCCTACATAACGGCGATGACGAAAACCTTTTCATGACCAACACCCGCACAAAAAGATAAGCATCAGAATCACAACAACAAAACCACACACAACGGTATCATTTTTTCCGGCTTCAAAGTAGTATACCAACATCGTGCTCCCTGCACCGAGAAACGTTCAATGCACTTTTAGTACCTATAACTTCATTTCTCCTTTTCATCAACATTACCGTGTCGATTATTTCGCTTCTGCTTTTCAACCTTAAATTCTGTTTTCTTTTCCCCCCCGTCCTCGGCTCTTGCCAACCAAAATAACACAAAATTCTCCATTTCAACTTGAAACTCCTTCCAACCTCAACACTCCTTAATCTCAACTTCTTCTCCTTGTTGTAGTCTAACATCAATTCTCAATTCCGTTTTCCATCCTGAATTCTTCTAGGCTAAAACAAACATTCTCCCCCTTTGATCCTCAATTCTCCTGTTTAAACCACCTACACTTCTGAGGCAGTTTTGTCCGGGACTGGCAACGCGCTGCACACCACACAAAAACGAGCCGGCATGGCCCCCTCCTTTTGGCTGCCGCTACCAGTCTCCTGTTTAAACCATTGCCAGTCGACCTCCGAGGCACTTCGCTTCGCGGCTAGTAATGCTCTGTGCACCACACCAAAAAACAAAAAAGGGACCGGCACGGCCCTCCTTTTGCCTGGCACCCTCTGCACGCCATAACAAAAACGAACCGGCACGGCCCTCCTTTTGGCTGGTAGTGCCAGCAGTTTTACTCCAGCGCCCGGCACAGCCCTCCTTTTGGCTGGGGCACCGCCTGCGCTGGCCTCCTTCTGACTGGCACCGCGCCTGCACGCCACACCAAAATGAACAGGCACGGCCCTCCTTAGGCTGGCAACGGCAGCAATTTTGCTCCGGCGGCGGAGCGCCAGAAACTTGCGGCTGCGTGCGAGCCACAACTATGAAAGAATGGCTGAGAAATTTACTGGTGTTGTTTAAACCTCCAGTTCTCACCCGCGCAGGGCCCGGCTCCTCTTTTGGCTGCCACAGCCAGCCATTTTTCTCCGGTGGTGGTGGAACCC